AAAGGCTTGTTTCTCTAATCCTTATTTTCCTATTCTTTCTATCCATGTTTCTTATACTGCCTGTAATTATTCAAATATACTTTGCTGTTGACTTGTAGTAAAGGCACCCAGGTGGTCTAGATCTAGCTAACCTATCCACAAACTACAGTGAATACCATGAAACTTTCCTTTCTTGAATATTTACCCATCTATTATTTCCTTCATAAACTCTTGTATGAGGAAGTGGTTCATCAATGGGCTCGGGGATTCTAAATATTCTCTCCTTTCCCTTAAGGGGATGCCATAGCCTACCTCTCCCTAACTTGTAAGCAATTCCTAAGTCTGTCTTAACTGTAGGCAGCAATCTTCTTTTAGTATTCCTTTGATTTCCTTGAGTCAACTCTAGGAACTGAAGTAGGGGGATTATTTACAAATAATTCTTCTTGCTATAACTTATCTAGAATTTTCCAAGGTTGCTTATTCTTAGCTACTTTACTTATTGTTTGAAATAAGAAAAGAGCATTTGGAGGAAGTCTAATATCAGGTGACTGAGTTCTCAGGAAATCATCCATATCTAGTCTCTCTTCTGGTGGGCCTAATGACCTGAGTAGGTTCAAAGCAGTTCTTCTATGAGGAAAGAACAGGAATAAAGACAGCAATGAAGACAAGAACTAAAGCAGAACAGCCAAGGACACAGCATGCTTTTTAACACAGCCATTCTCCAGGAGGCATTCTTCCTTTGAAGTTTTCTCAGCCTCGACCCAACCCACGGAGAGTTCCTCACGCGGGCTCTACTGGAGGTGGTGTGACAAGATGTGATTGAGCATGATTGTAATCCCAGCACTGGGGAGGCAGAGACAGGTAGATGTCTGGCACTCACTAACTGGCCAGCTTAGCCTAACTAGTGAGCCCAAGGTTCCAGCTTGGCACCTTGTCTCAAGAAAAACAATGTGAATTTGCCAGAGGAACAACATCTAAGGTTAACTTCTGGCCTCCATGTCTGCACACACATGAACACACACACACACACACACACACACACACACACACACATACACACACACACATGCACAGCAAGAGAAAGTTTAGAAGAAGCATGAATAAAATTTAGACTCATGGCTGCTTGAAGTGAACTCCATCTTATTTGTTGTGATATACAGGTACCCCAGCACCCAGCAGTACAACGATGTGGTCAATGCTCTGCTGCAGGCCCACCCTTTCCTGGATGAGGACGGCTGTGGCTTTGTAAGTGATACACACACACACATGCACAGCAAGAGAAAGTTTAGAAGAAGCATGAATAAAATTTAGACTCATGGCTGCTTGAAGTGAACTCCATCTTATTTGTTGTGATATACAGGTACCCCAGCACCCAGCAGTACAACGATGTGGTCAATGCTCTGCTGCAGGCCCACCCTTTCCTGGATGAGGACGGCTGTGGCTTTGTAAGTGATCACATGGCACTACATAGTATCCTAGACATTGCAATCCATTTAAATAACAGCTTTTCACTTTCCACTCGGGCAGTGGTCTTTCCCTTTGGTTCTGTCTTTCTTTTGGTCTCCATTCGTTGCTTTGCTTTGTCTCTTTCCTCTTCCTTTCATCTTTGTGATACCTTGTCCGTTTCTCTCTGCCACATTCTTTGCCTTCTTCATCTGTTAGTCTCCATCTTTCTATGGCTCTCTGGGAGCAGTTTGGGGTCTTCTATGTAGCAGTGAGTGCACAGAAGGAGGACATGGCTACATAGCAGTAGTTCCTTGCTCTCTGATTTAATCAAAAGGGATGATTTCTGGTTTTGAGGTCTTTTCCTCCTGCCTCACCCAGCTCTCTCATATCTCTGCTGTCTGGATTGGGAGATGCTAAGGATGCTTGGAGCAACAGTTCTAGGTATCTAGTCCCAGAGAGTCTGATTTAAATAATAAGAGGTCTTGCCCATTAATGCTTTCAAAAATTCCCAGATGATCTAATGGAGAGTTGGGGTTGAGAAGTGCTGCTCAAGCATGCTTAGCTGCTGGGTCTTCATGCTTTAAAGAATGAGGCATTAGCACTTGAAAGTTGAGGCAGGAGGATCAGGAGTTTGAGGTCAGCCTGGGCTACATAAGACTTCTGTCTCAAACAAAACAAGACATGACTAATATCTTCATTGCTAGCAATGAAAATATGCTTAGCACTGTTGAACTATACTCTTAAACATACTTGAAATCGTAACAAAACTGGAATGTTCATGACAGGAAAGGTATACAACTCCAGAAACATTTCTAGGAACTCTAGGTGTGTATGTCCAATGATATACCGTTATCCCTGTATCTCTATGCACACACTTCAGAAATCATGGCTAAAAATGATGGCTGTGTTCTTGTTTCATATCACCTCAACCATGTGCTGGGAAAAAATTCTTGAAGACTGAACTGAAGCAATTTGGGCTAATTTGAACAACAACAACAACAACAAATGTCAATATCTGTGAATGCAAAAACATTTAAGATCTCTGCTTGCTTGCATTTTTATTTTCTGTCACTTTTTCCTTCTTTCCTTCTCTCTTTCTGTCCTTTCCGTATTCTTTTTCCCTTATTTCTTTCATTTTCCTGTCTTCAGTAAAAGAATGATTATATATGGGTAGAATCAGAATTTTCTGAGTGACAGAGGGCCCTAAGGATTCTCTTTTACCACCCAGATTCGGGAAAGAAGTTGTATCCCATGTCTGGGAATAATAACTAGTCAAGACTAGAATTCAGGCATTCTTGTTCATAAAGGATGTCACCCTTTCTAAAATAAATTTCTGCATATAAAGCACATTACAAAATAACCCAAACTTTCTCTAAAACAAACCAACATAAAGCAATAAAGCAACAACAACAGTCCTGAAGCTCGACATTGCTAGTCATAACAACATGGCTGACTAAAATGAACTTCTGCATTCCTTCTAACATTCTAGGTGCTATATTTGCCATCTAATCAGTGACACTAGAGATAGAATCCCAGTCAGTCCTTTATCTTCACAGATTCTACACCCTTAGTATCAGTCAGTCTCCAATCTGTATTATGTAGTTAGACCTATGATGGTGCTTCTGCAATTAATGTAAACAGATATTTTCCTTATTATTTTTCCCTAATCAATATAACAGCTGTCTACCTAGCATTTACATTTTATTACATACTCCAAATATTATAGAGATGATTGAAAGTGAAGGAGAGGGTTTGGAGAGATGGCTCAGCAGTTAAGAACACTTACTGCTCTTGTAGACAACCTGGGTTGCAATTCCTACAGGAATCTGTATCAGGCAGATCACAACTTCCTGCAATTCTAGTTTCTGGATATCCTATGGTCTTTTATGGCCTCTGTGTGTACCTACATGTATGTGGTATACATAAACTCACACAGGCCCACACACATAAAGAAAAAAGAGGAATCTTTGGACTGGCAAGATGGCGCAGCAAGTAAAGGATTCTGCACCAAACCAGACAATCTGAGTTTAATCCCAAGGAACCACATGATGTAAGAAAAGAACTGACTCCAACAAGCTGTCCTCTAACTGCCACATGTGTGCTGTGGCATGTGCACATTCACAAATAAATAAATGTAAGATATTAAAAACAGAAAGTCAAAGTAGAATGTGAGTCAGTTGCATGCAAACACTAATGCATCTTATCAAAGAGATTTGAACAGCATGGATTTCGGCATTTCCTAAAAGAATCCTGGACCAATCCTCTGTGGATAACTAGAGGTAGCATTAGCTACATTTTTGAAAAGTAATTTAAATTTTCTGTTTGAACAAATGGTACTTTTGCCTAGGTCAAATCAAGGTTACAGAGAGATGTAATTTGAAATTTTTTTTCATCACCACTCTTCACCCACTCAATTTTCCTTCCAGAAGTAACTGGTATTATTTAAGAGTCCTTCCAAAGAACCTTGTCTATAAATGAGTAGATACCTATCCAATTAAATTTCAGTCTTTAGTTCTATAATTATCAAAGTGAGACACCTATAAAGTAATGAATAATGCCTACTGTGCTCTTGTGGGCATTTCATCTACATCTATTTCAGTGTATTATCTAAAGATGATTAACTGATAAAGAGACTGAGAAAACCGTTTAGCAGGTTGTTGCCCTCATTTGCACACTTAGAAGTGGAAGCTGATGCATTGATAGATGTTTAACCAAACCCTCTCTGTAGGTATACATGAGGTTGTGTTCCTAATTTTACAGTGGATGACGTAGAAAATGCCCAAGAACATGTGTGTGTGTGTGTGTGTGTGTAGAGAGAGAGAGAGAGAGAGAGAGAGAGAGAGAGAGAGAGATTGAGACAGAAACAGAGATTCAGAAACAGAGAACTTTGTTCTTTTAGGGCTAATTTTATTTTCAAATGTTGGTCTTGAAAACTTTGAAAACTACATAAAAGTAGAAAAATGTTACAGTGATACTGTATACCTTTCAATTAGGTCAAGATTTCAACTAGATCAAGATTTCTCTGTCTTCACACTATTTACATTAAGTGCTGGATAATTAATTCTTTGTGGTAGGGATAGTCATGGGCATTGTGGGATATTAAACAGCACCCCAGCAGGTGTGAATAGCACCCTTTCCACTCCAATTGTAACAACTAGCACATCCCCATACATCATGAACTGTCTCCTGGAAAGGAGGAGTGAGCAACATTAGCACACTGATTGAAAATCACTATTCTCATTAGGAATTAAGATTTTGCCACATTTATTTTTCTCCTCTCATGTTTGTTTGCGTTAGCTGAGCATTTAGAAACAAGTTACAGATGATATCTCTAACTATCTTTTGTTCTTGTTTGCTTAGTTTCTTTGTATGGGGCTAGGGATTGAACCTAGGGTCTCTTACAAATTAGGTAAGTGCTGTACCCCTAAGCTACATCCCCCGCCCTCTCGGCACATGTCTTAAAAGAATCATGACAATCTCTCTGTAATGATGATACACTTCTTACTCCTAAGAACATTATAGCAGTTGCATAGTATCACGTGCAATCCATATTAGGTATTACATTGGGTTATTCTGTTTCTATGTTTTTTTCTACTTTAGTCTCTTTGCTCTGTTTTGCTTTTCTTGACATTTACTTTTTGGTCATTCTTTTTCCAGTTGTACAAGATGCTTCATATTCTTCGTCTATCTGGATGTTTCTTAGTGATTGTATTGGGTTGATTGTAATCCACAGCCTGCAGGGCTGTGAATTTCTTCCTATGTCACAAGAAGCCCATAATTTCACAATGATTAGGAGAGCTTGTCTCTGAAGGGCATTTCATATCTACTTTATCTTCAGAAATATGGGGAAGAAGGATAATTAATTCTGCATAACAAATATTTCCACTGAATCCACCGACCTAATGCCTACCTCACATATCTGTGTTAATAACAGTGTCAGGCATACAACGGGTGCTCAATAAATACTCAGAGACTGAACAATCATGTGGAAGATTGTATTTGACTGGTCCTTTTTCGGTTTGGGAGATGGGAGAAGGGAGGCAGAAGAAATCAGAGATTTAACAACATCCTAGCAGTTGCTGGTTATAATAACTTCCACTAGGATTAGCAGGGCTAGAGACCCTTTAGATCTGAAGAAAACATGACAAACAAATGTGTTTGTACTAGTTCAAATTTCAGGACCTAGAAAAACACAAGCCATCTATTATTTTTTTGTGCTGTTGTAAAACGGCAAAGGCAGAACCCACAGGCCTATGGAAGGTGCTGGAGCATCTCTGACTCACACATACCCAGGGGCTTAATCAGAGCACAAGCCAGCTCCAGCCTCAGCCTGAAGAATACCTCACCAGGACTGTCCAAGGACTTTATGAACAGCACTTTAGTTCATAAATATCTTCCATAAGTAGCTACTCATCTGCTTCTTTTGAAAACACAGTACAGAAGCTGTAGAAATAGTTCAGTCAGTAAAGTACTTGTCATGCAATCATGAGGAGCTGGGTTAGATACCCACTACCCATGTAAAAAGCCAGGCATGGTGATGCAAACTTATAATCCTAGTGCTAGAGAGGTGGAGACAGGTAGATCCCTGAGGATCACAGACCAACCAGCATAACCATCATCAAGTGCCAGGTCAGTGAGAAATACCTTCTCATAAAACATGGTGGATATCTCCTGAGGAATGATATCTAAGGTTGACCTCTGGCTTCCATATGCACCCACACACATGTGAATGAATATGTCTATATACCTGTACACACATATACATACACACACACACACACACACATACACACACAGCATTTGGCATGTAAGATCATGTTGTTCCATTTGGTAATCAAGAAACTGAGACTGATGGGACACACACACACACACACACACACACACACACACACACACAGCATTTGGCAGGTAAGATCATGTTGTTCCATTTGGTAATCAAGAAACTGAGACTGATGGGGTTACTTGGCTACCGTGTACTAGAGCTGATGCTAAAATCTGGGTCTTTCCAACCTAGGCCGTGGTGTTTTCTGAAGGAGAAGGATTCCGACTAGTGGAGCCTGAGCCATGAAGCCAGGAATAGTAACATCTAGATGTCAAACCCTTGACACATATTTTCTCATTAGTCTCGTTTGCTCACTAGGAGACAGGCTGCATTATTAATGTTTCCTTAGCTCTGATTTAGGGATTATAATCCGAATAGCAACAGACAATATTGTTATCAAGATAAACCTAAAGACAGATACACTATTTCTCTTATGATGATGTGAAAGTAATTTCAAGCCCAAGGGTGATAGATAAAGATTTTATTGTTAAACACTAAGCTCTTTAAGGACTGACTGGCCTGCTTTGTTATTTTACACAGTTACTATGGAAACGAGCCCTCAAAGATCGCTTTAAATATGTTCGAAGACCCATAGAAGACGACGAACAAGTAATGAGAAATAAATGCAAATTTGGACACCGAAGAGGCCAGACAAGGAAATCTCTTGCTGATATAAGATCTGATGAAATTAAAATTGTCCAGATAAAAGTAAGAATGAATTCTAAATATTCTGACAACTACAGCTGATTAACTAACCGACAATAAATAATAGCATGTAAATAATTAATCAAGTAAGATGCCTTTTGAAATCTTAGGTGTGGTCCAGATCAATAAAATCAGTATTTTGCATGCCTAATACTGTAACGTTTCCAAAAGATGGTGTCGTAAAGTTTGAGACAAGAATGTTATTAAATATTTCATGGTCATTTTCCTTCACAACCTTCAAAGAAACTGGAAAAACTCCTAAGTTTTGGCTTATTGAATTATTTCTCTTCTTTCTCTCATTATAACGCATTCATATTCTTTAAAAACATTTTAATTTATTTTTAATTTGTTTCTTGGTCTTTTTAAGACACAGTTCCCCCATAGCCCCAGCTGGCCTGGAACTTGCTATGTAGACCAGAATGACCTTGATCTTACAGAATCTGTCTACCTCTGCCTCAAAAGTGCTGGGATTAAAGGCAGGCACCACCATGCTCAGTATTTTTATTTGTTTTATTGAGGCTGTGTCTGTCTCATGTAGCATTCACTATGCATCAGGCAGTGGCCTTTACCACCTGATCCCCATGCTTCCACCTTCTAAGGGCTGAATTATATGCATGCAGCACCATGCACACACCTGTATCTCGTTTTCTTGATGTTCTTGTTGCTACAGAAAGTTGGATTTAAAAAAAATATGCTCATTTCCTCCATGCTTCCAAGCAAAGTCAAACATGGTTGAGCAGGACCTCTGACTTATCTTCACATAGGCGGAACTGGTAAAAGAAAGGAGCCAGGGGCTCCTCCCAAGCCCATGTGAC